TCTTCCGATCTCCCCAAAACCCCAAAACCCCATTAATCAGATTCTTAGCAATCTATAATATTTATTAAAATTATAATAAAAATCTAATAATACTCATTTGAAAAAAAATAATAATGGATGAATCATATGCTTATTGGAACATTTTTTACTTCGCTGCTGCACTATTAATTTATACTTTTTATTCCGTCTATGTGCTATATAAAGTGAAATTTAAGATTGATAAATCTGCTTTTATAATGATGATACTTTACTTTCTAAGTTTATTGAATCGATTAATCTCATGGACACTGTATTTTTCCCAAGAAAATTAATTAAGTAGTAAGGATGATAATAATGATCAAGAGTTTGGATGGATCGAATTTATTGACTATAACATTATATTTTTCATTTCTCTCAGCTTTTATTACTTTTTATTTGAAATGAGAGGAGTTAAGATATCGATTGATGCAAAGACCCCACAAGAAAATAAACGAAGATAATGGCTTAATTTTAGATAGAAAGTGATATTTATCGCAGTCTCAATAATCTTATCACTTGGATGTGACGTAGTTTATTACCGAAATCTTGTTAAGGAAGAACATGAAGATTCTTCATCAGCAATTTCTGTTATAATGTGGATATTGAAAATATTGGAAACTGCGATGGGTTTGTTTTTAGTCTACATATTCTGCTCCTTATTTTATTCATTTGTTCGAATGAGAGCTTATAAACTTGCACTCAAAAATAGAGAATACAGCTGCCTTAATAAAGCTATGATTATGTGGATATCACTCTTGATTATTCTATCAACTTTAAGCATGATATTAACCAATATTATGCAGGCTACCTTGGTGTATTAGGATAACTCAAATGATAGCCCTCTCTAATTTTATTAGAATCATAGATTTGTCTTTTATACTGCTATCGATTTCTTGAAAGGTATTACTATGGTATATCTTTTTAAGTAGTAAGGTAAATTCTACCTATCTTCATCTTAGAGACCAGTATCTCAAAGACCAGAAAGGGTAAATATAGAGCCAATACCATAAAACCTGCTTGATGAATTAGATATATCTAAGCACACTAATAATTACCATTAAAGTGGAATGGGAGATGCAACTAAAGATAATTTGAGATTAGATCACTTGAATTATTCAAGAGAATTACAAACAGACAAAGATTATAATGCTGATGATGTTGAAGGTGATCATTCTACGATTAAAGACGAATAAGAATCTAGATAATCAGATTTCCTTGATAAGTCATCTTTTATGGGCTATTTCGAAGACGAAAACTAATTTAGAAATTTCTTATTCTCTCAGCTCGGAGATATGAGAAGGAATACTCCTATCAATGTGAGATTTACAACTAAAATTTGAATTAATAGCAAGAAGGCTAAGAGCTCATCAATAATCTTAAGTATACATTCTTTATCATAATTTAAGTTTATTCCTTAATTTATTAACTACAATGAGAAGAGCTATACCATTACTCTGGGGTTTTGGGGTTTTGGGGTTTTGGGG